TATGGCAACCCTGTCCTGAAAATCATGTTGTTAGACAACGGTGAACCTTCGAACTATGAAGAAGCGATGGCGGGCCCAGATTCCAACATATGGCTTGAAGCCATGCAATCCGAGATAGAATCCATGTATGAAAACAAAGTATGGACTTTGACAGACTTGCCCGATGATCGGCGAGCGATAGAAAACAAATGGATCTTTAAGAAGAAGACGGACGCGGATGGTAATGTTACCATCTACAAAGCTCGACTTGTCGCTAAGGGTTATCAGCAAGTTCAAGGGATTGAATACGATGAGACTTTCTCTCCCGTAGCGAAGCTTAAGTCCGTCCGAATCATGTTAGCAATTGCCGCATACTATGATTATGAGATATGGCAGATGGACGTCAAAACGGCATTCCTTAACGGTTATCTTAAGGAAGAGCTGTATATGATGCAGCCAGAAGGTTTTGTCGATCCTAAGAATGCTAACAAAGTATGCAAGCTCCAGCGATCCATTTATGGGCTGGTGCAAGCATCTCAGAGTTGGAACATTCGCTTTGATGAAATGATCAAAGCATGCAGACTTATGGAGAAGCGTGCGTTTACAAGAAGGTGAGTGGGAGCTCTGTAGCATTTCTCATATTATATGTAGATGACATACTTTTGATGGGAAAGCTGCTTACATATTAGGCATCAAAATCTATAGAGATAGATCGAGACGCCTCATAGGTCTTTCACAAAGCACATACCTTGATAAGATTTTGAAGAAGTTCAAAATGGATCAGTCCAAGAAAGGTTTCTTGCCTGTTTTGCAAGGTGTGAAATTGAGCTCGGCTCAATGCCCGACCACGGCAAAAGATAAAGAAGAGATGAGTGTCATCCCCTATGCCTCAGCCATAGGATCTATTATGTATGCCATGCTATGTACCAGGCCTGATGTAAACCTTGCCGTAAGTTTGGTAGGAAGGTACCAAAGTAATCTCGGCAAGGAACACTGGACAACGATCAAGAATATCCTGAAGTACCTGAAAAGGACAAAGGACATGTTTCTCGTTTATGGAGGTGACGAAGAGCTCGTCGTAAAGGGTTACGTCGACGCTAGCTTCGACACAGATCTGGATGACTCTAAGTCACAAACCGGATACGTGTATATGTTGAATGGTGGAGCAGTAAGCTGGTGCACTGCAAGCAGAGCGTCGTGGCGGGATCTACATGTGAAGCGGAGTACATGGCAGCCTCGGAGGCAGCGCATGAAGCAATTTGGGTGAAGGAGTTCATCACCGACCTAGGAGTCATACCCAATGCGTCGGGGCCGATCAAACTCTTCTGTGACAACACTGGAGCTATTGCGCTTGCCAAGGAGCCCAGGTTTCATAAGAAGACCAGGCACATCAAGCGACGCTTCAACTCCATTCGTGAAAATGTTCAAGATGGAGACATAGAAATTTGCAAAGTGCATACGGATCTAAATGTCGCAGATCCGTTGACTAAACCTCTTCCGCGAGCAAAACATGATCAGCACCAGAACTCTATGGGTGTTCGATTCATCACAATGTAACTAGATTATTGACTCTAGTGCAAGTGGGAGACTGTTGGAAATATGCCCTAGAGGCAATAATAAAAGGATTATTATTATATTTCCTTGCTCATGATAATTGTCTTTTATTCATGCTATAATTGTATTATCCGGAAATCGTAATACACGTATGAACACATAGACCACAATTTGTGCCTAGTGAGCCTCTAGTTGACTAGCTCGTTGATCAACAGATAGTCATGGTTTCCTGACTATGGACATTGGATGTCATTGATAATGGGATCACATCATTAGGAGAATGATGTGATGGACAAGATCCAATCCTAAGCATAGCACAAGATCGTGTAGTTCGTTTGCTAAAGCTTTTCCAATGTCAAGTATCTTTTCCTTAGACCATGAGATCGTGTAACTCCCGGATACCTAGGAGTGCTTTGGGTGTACCAAACGTCGCAACGTAACTGGGTGACTATAAAGGTGCACTACAGGTATCTCCGAAAGTGTCTGTTGGGTTGACACGGATCGAGACTGGGATTTGTCACTCCGTATGACAGAGAGGTATCACTGGGCCCACTCGGTAGTGCATCATCATAATGAGCTCAAAGTGACCAAGTTTTTGGTCACAGGATCATGCATTACGGTACGAGTAAAGTGACTTGCCGGCAACGAGATTGAACGAGGTATTGGGATACCGACGATCGAATCTCGGGCAAGTAACATACCGTCTAACAAAGGGAATAGTATACGGGGTTGATTGAATCCTCGACATCGTGGTTCATCCGATGACATCATCGAGGAGCATGTGGGAGCCAACATGGGTATCCAGATCCCACTGTTGGTTATTAATCGGAGAGCCATCTCGGTCATGTCTGCATGTCTCCCGAACCCGTAGGGTCTACACACTTAAGGTTCGGTGACACTAGGGTTATTAGGAAGACTTGTATGTGATTACTGAATGTTGTTCGGAGTCCCGGATGAGTTCCCGGACGTCACGAGGAGTATCGGAATGTTCCGGAGGTGAAGATTTATATATGGGAAGTTGTCATACAGACACCAGAAAGTTTCGGGGGCATATCAGTATTGTACCGGGGCCACCGGAGGGGTTCCGGGGGTCCACCGGGAGGGGCCACCCCTCTCGGAGGGCCTCATGGGCCGCAAGGGACAGGGAACCAGCCCCTGGAGGGCTGGGCGCCCCCCCCTTGGGCCCATGCGCCTAGTTTTTTGGGGGGGGGACCCTAGTGGGGCGCCCCCTTACTTGGGGGGCAAGCCCCCCTCCCTGGCCGCCGCCCCCCCTCTAGATATCATCTAGAGGGGGCCGGCCCCCTTCCCCCTTCCCCTATAAATAGAGGGGCGAGGGGAGGGCTGAACACCTGATCCAAGGCGCAGCCCCTCCCCTCCCCAACACCTCTCCTCCTCCGTTGAGTGCTTGGCGAAGCCCTGTCGGAGTATTGCCTCTCCACCAACACCACGCCGTCGTGCTGCTACTGGAGCCTTCTTACTCAACCTCTCCTTTCCCCTTGCTGGATCAAGAAGGAGGAGACGTCATCCGCTCCGTACGTGTGTTGAACGCGGAGGTGCTGTCCGTTCAGCACTTGGTCATCGGTGATTTGGATCACGGCGAGTGCGACTCCATCATCCCCGTTCCATTGAATGCTTCCGCACGCGATCTACAAGTGGTATGTAGATGCAATCTCTCTCCCATGACTCGTTGCTTAGATGAACTCATAGATGGATCTTGGTGAAACCGTAGGAAATTTTTTAATTTTCTGCAACGTTCCCCAACACTAACTATATTAACAAAGCCCGCGATACATCAAGATCGTGCCAAATCAAGAACACGAGAGGGAGAGAGACCGAGATTAAACACATAGCTACTGGTACAAACCCTTAGCCCCGAGGGTGGACTACTCCCTCCTCATCATGGAGACCATAGGGATGATGAAGATGGCCTTCGGTGATGATTTCCCCCTCCGGCTGGGTGCGGTAATGGGCTCCCAATTGGTTTTTCGTCGCTACAGAGGCTTGTGGCGGCGGAACTTCTGATCTAGGGTTATTTCTCATTGTTTCTCTATTTATAGGATTTTTCAGCATGGAATCACGCGAAGATGGGCCAATAGTGGGCCACAAGACACCAGGGCGTGCCTGGGGGGGGATGCGCGCCCTGGTGGGTTGTGCCCACCTTCTGGCTCTCCCACGAAGCTTCTAGTGCCTCTTTTATTCCAAAAAAATTGTCAAAAAGTTTCGTTGCATTTGCAGAACTTTTATTTTTGCACAAAAAACAACACCATGGTAGTTCTGCTGAAAACAACGTCAGTCCAGGTTAGTTCTATGCAAATCATACCAAAACAATATAAAATTGTTGTAAACATGGCATGAATAGCTCATAAATTATAGATACATTGGAGACGTATCAACAACCCCAAGCTTAATTCCTACTCGTCCCCGAGTAGGTATATGATAAAAGAAAATAATTTATGAAGTGTGAATGCTAGCAAAGTGCATACGTTTGATCAATGATAACTTCAATCACTTTTCCTAGCATCATAACATCAATTCTTTCTCATAAAACTTTTCATGTTAAATTAGCAACCAATTCACATGTTATGGTTCAAACAATGAATTCTCTTGAAACCAACAACCTATATTCTTAGTCACCAAACAATTGCAATTCAACTTATTCAACAGAGTCTTAGTAAGAGCTCCACATACTCAATCATCAAGTGGGGAAAGACTAGCCTTTTTTATATTGTGAAATTGGTATTATATGACTCGAGGATAGAAAATACATGGGTTGCAAGTTTAAATTTAGAATCGTAGTTTGGGTATTGGAGCAGAAATCTAGAATCCCTCGTATGGAAATTTTATAGTTAATTATGGAGTATAATTTATATTATCTCAAGATAAATCACTATTTTCTCTATAAAATACTTGCCAAGTGGGACTCGAAAAATGAAAGGGCATCGTTTTTATTGGCAGGAGAAAGCTTCTTCAACGTGGCAATATTCTATGGAGAATGATAGAAAATATGTTTGGTCGATGGAGACGAAGAAAATGCTCAATCAGATAACATCATGTCCCATATGGGAACAAATTGCATTGAGAAGGAAAATGGTTTGGTCACTAAGATTTGCTAGATGTTTCTTTAAAAATATAGTGATAAGTACAATATTTAATGGGCAATTATTTTGAGATCTGAAAGTTTGATGTAAATAGGCTTATCCTTACCGAAAGTACATGATGTTTAGTTGAAGTGCCTATAGAGTTGTAACGACAAATGATGAAAGCCACTTATTACATATTCCCAAACATGTGGTGAAACATAAGTGCATATGTTACAAGCTTGTAATGCTTTTTTACATATCTTAGGAATCAAGTGGTACACAATAGTTGGGCATTGCATCACAACACGTACAGTTGTATTGGGGCCACAAGTAACACATAAAGCATTATATTACAAAAGGTATACTTTTCATGGGCTATTAATGTTATTAGTTCCCAGGGCCACCATAGTAGATGTAAGTGCCCCAGTCGCTTCCATAGACACCACCTTGCACATCATAACTGTTGTTCTGCTGAGCTATTAAGCCCACATCACTTGGCGGTATGAGAGAGTTGGAGGAATCTACCACTTGGATGTTCCTAATGTAACTGGCCTGACGGAACCCTTCATTGGGGAAGTGTCCACTACCCATATGTGTGGAAGTTTGGCCGACATCAGGTGAAAATACCTCACCACCCCACTGGACAGAGGAGGCACTATTTGCCAAGTAGGTGAAGATGAACGATGGCCAATACCCCACATAATAGCCCCCCACTTGCAGCCACCAATTCCCTCCCACCTTGTCCTACAAGCTAAAAATAGTTTACTACGAAATAACAAAATACATAATGATTAACACAATGTAGATGACTTAAGTTCCCAAGTTAAAGACGATACATCAAACTAATGGGCTAGTGTATCACAACACATTAGAGAGTTCATGTGCAACTATTTAAATATCTTACTAAGTTTAACTTACTTAATGTCAATGGCTAATATTTATTCATTTCAGCTCTAACCAGATAAGGAGGTGTAACTTCAAAGATACCTTGTTCAATAGCTAAATTAACAATGTTGCACTCGAAGACAAATATGAAATACGCATGGATACAACTGCGACACCATTTGTGTGCCAATAGATAGGCCAGGAACCACAATTGATAGAAAAAACAAGAGGACATTGGCATCGATTCTCTATGCCCATTCAAGAATTTGAGTTTGTGTGCCTAAGTTGAAGTATAAGTGAATTTCTCACCCTTTCCCATTAGCATAGGCTTTTGGTTTGAACTCATGTAGCTCAAAGCTAGATTTCTCGAGTTTTAATCCTAGCGACTGCTATAATAAAATAAATAATTGTGGCCGATTCCTATTTCCACTTCTAGATCTAAGGGAGAATGAACATGAGGAGGAAATGTTGAAGTAAGTGAATTCTCCCACATTTCCCCATCAGCTTACCCTTTTTGATTGAACTTTTCGGCACAAACAACTCAAAACTTAGGATTTAAGTGTTGTATTACCTTCCAAACTAAAATGTCGATGTCATATTGTGCGCCTCCATAGGTGGAGGTTGGGGAGATACTGCCACCAAGGGTGATCTGATTGTTTGTCTGGATGAACCCTGAGCAATGTAGGTTGTAACATCCTGTTGTTTGATACGCATCACGCTACAATATTCCACATAGTAGAAAAGTAGCATCTTGATGTTATTACCAACATTCCTAAAAGGAGGGCTTGAAATTTCTTCAAATTAAGATACAATTAAATATGTTGTTTATCTTACAGTCCAGTAGATGAAGAGTCTAGTATTTCTATCCATATATAGACCTGGGTATACCTGCAATGTTTATATAGAGGACAAAGCCATCAGCCACATTGAAAGTGATTGCACAACTTACTACACCATTATATATTGAATGATTAGGGAATAGATAGATAGACAGGGAGAGAGAGTGGGTGAGGAAGAGTGAGATTTTGAGGTTCTCCTTTAATCGCAACACATGAAAAAGCAAGACAATCTAAGTCTTTGCACACAACATGTTTCTCCCTTCCATTTAAATTATACAGATAGAATGAGACTTGCCAACAAGTTTGCTCATATGATAAATTCCCATGGAATCCATCTTTTCAATCCTTTTTCCAGCATCTTCGTCTTTTTGATTGAGTAGTGGTGTCCTATACCTTTTGCACAATTGATCACTCATAGAATTGAATGTTGCTTGCTTATTTAGTTGAGTCCCTTTAAAAATTCACCCTATCCATGGTTATATATCTAGGATGTCTTCTTAAGTTATTGATATAGTTTTAGTATTGTATATAATGTTGTCGGACATAAGAGATATAGGTACCTTATAAGATACTGAATAAATTAATTGTTTTGGATGAAATGAGGTCCACATTTGCTCAAAATTGATCATCCACCATCTTGTTATTATCATTGTCATGTGTTTCATGAATAAAACATATTCAATGATTGCAAAACCATAGAAAGTGATATGCTTATTAGTCCACGCTACATGCATACATGCATGGTTTACATGGTGGCACATTAAGGCAACGATCGGTCTTGAGCTGCTTGGGTCACAACCCTGATCATGCCATAAGATTTCTTTGATGAGTGTACCACTTTTTGACTCTTTATGGTACTATGGAACGAGTTCGGCTAGGGCCTAGCCCAATTCTGGATGTACTAGTGTGACACGCTTCATGTGAGTATACTTTGAGTTAGGGAGGATATGTACATACAGTTAGCTTTTTCTATATGTATATAGTGGGAGGGCTAGCTAATTTAGTCTCTTATTTATGGGGATTTGTTTTGTAGTATTAATATTAATAAGGAGGGAAGTGTGGACTTTATATGTAGATCTAGAGGGTTAGATTATTTTTAATAATGTTTTGGTGGGATAATGAAGATGTACATTAGAGGGTTACTAAAGATTATGTTCTATAATAGCACATGTGGACAATGTAGATATGCATTTAGAGGTTTATTTGATATTATTTTGCATGATATATCTCAAAGGTTGCTTTAGGTTCTTTTTGATAGCGACAATGTAGGTAAGGGAGATGACTACATAAATGTTACTTTAGATTATATTTCAGAGGTGGATTAATACATCATATATGAAAGTGGGTTTAATGTTTCCCTTTGAGGTCCGACCTGCCATCCAGCTTCAATGGTATTGAGGTCGTTGCCACTATAGGAACCCCCAATGATCCAGAGTTGTGTCAAGCTAAAGTCATCGGCCCTTGCAATTGTTGGTTTCCACAAATTGAAGCTGGCTTTGGTCCCATGGCAGTTATCAACCTGTGTAGATGCAATGGCATGCTGCTCAATATGAGCGAAAACAAATTTAAATGAGCACTTCCAGAATCAAATAATAGTAGTAATAATCCAAGAGGGAGATTATTTCTCATTTGAATGTGATTCTTAAATGGCTTTTTTTACCTGGTGCCCCGTCGATATATTGGATATTACTGGTTTATTGATTGAATCGAGGTTTGCGATGCTCTGGGGCCTCTTTTTGCCATACCTCTTGATGGAATTGGCCCTCAAGACATCCTCCTCCTTGGTCCGTCGGATTGGTATTGTGTTCTCAGGGCACTTGCCATTTTGATGCCATGTTTGGGTGATGTGATGAGGTGCGATGTTAGATTCATGATACATGCCTCCTGGATGGTAAGAAGGCTGCATCTGAATTGTGGAATCATTTGGGATATTGGAGAGCATAGCAACTTGTCAACAACCAATCGCGAAATGAAAAGGGAAATGGTGTTGCAAAGTTTTACCTGTATAGTATGGTTCTTGAGGAGAGGATGGTCGAATGCAGGTTGTTTGGAGATGTGCACACAGTCTATGATATCTCCATCTAGGCTCTATTAACTTATAGGAATCAGTGCTTGCAATTGGAGATAAAAAATAGAATAGTTCGAGCAAACTAGAAAACATTAGATCTTCACTACAATCTTCTCATAGACAATACATAATGTGGATTAAAATAAAAAAATTCTTCCGACAACTATAAGCAAACTCAATCAACCTTGGGATTTTAATTTTGTTAATAAAATAGGATTCCATATCTTAATCCAAAGCCGAGCAAGGCTTTCCTTTGTTCATCCGATGGATCATGTACGTACTATATCTCCGAGTATCCAAAAGACAACACTTGCTCGATACATTAATTTCTGGACATCATATTAATCAGATTGGATCTACATACGAACCACTTATCTTTCCAAACAATATAATATTTGGATTTTATAACAAAAGTTTGGTTACATTTCGATGTTAATGTTAGTACACGTGACTATCTTGATATGGTTTATTCTATGCTTGAGCTTGGCTTATGTCTTAGGCATTGAATAAAATTCACATCCAGGTAGGATGAAGTTTGATGGGACAACTAATTAAATGAAAAAAAAATCTAGTTTCAAATTGAAGTTTATCTATTATATTACTTTATTACTATACTAATTAGAGATTCCCTAGAAGTTCTTACATTAATTCGGGAAAGAAAAGCTAACCATCTATTTTTTGGGACCAAATTATAAGGGCTAAGATTTAATTCAAGCATAAAAATAGAAGAGTAATATAAAAAAAGTTTGATAGGTGAATCTGCAGTATACACAGAAGGAAAAGGCACATGTAAAGTATCTTTTTAGTGCGCGCGTGTCCTAACAACAGGAAAACAATTATCACATTCATAAAAAATGTGCAAATTCTAATAACCACAATATTTAAAAGGAGTTTACATGCATACATGCAGTTCAACTAAAGATGTTTTTACAATCCCTCCCGATTGCTAGGTTTATTTTTTGTGATTATGTTTGGCGCACTTTCCTGCTTCAGCTCTTCAAGATATAAAAATACAAGAACATGAAATAAAATAAATTTAGAGCTTGTGCTCTTTGGTGATAGTACACATAACGCAATTGGAAAACATGACTCACCTTGCATGTTTTATCAAGGATGATGGATGTTGGTCCAGACAAGTTGATATTGACTAGATCATAATGATGGAAAAATATGCATTGGTCTTGCCTAACATAGGATTGATAGGTGGTAATCAAGGCTGGGTGTGGCACTTTAGTGGAAATGAGGTGCTTGCTTTCACCATAGAAGGCATGGCTCTGATACAACTGAACTTGATCCTATTTGTTTTCTTAGCTCTAGTACATGGTTCAATACTTTTTTTGACTATTACTAAAAAAATTCAGCTCTACTACTTTGTTCCAACACAGTTTATTTACTTTCACAGTCTATGTTTGATCTATTATAAATAGACCCAACAGTGAGAATAAAGCAAAGAGCTCTCCGTTCTATGGCACAAAGAGTTAACTAATAAACTTTGTATCTTCCGTACAAAAGATATGTTTAGATAGTCACATCTAAGTAATTGTGTCAACTAATTTAATTTATAATTGTCAATAAAATATGGTTGTACTTCATATTGATAGCACAAAGTAGCTTCGATAAATTTACTTGAGAACAAATATTAGTATAAATTATGTATGAAATTGAAAAAACATCATAACGACCTATTCGCTAGGACGTTTGTAAATTCACCACTATCACTAAATTAGCTACCAACAATGCTAAAGAAATTAAAAGAATATAAGAACTACATTACCTACTCATTCCATGGATCCACTTTTTTCATTTACATGTAATCCAAAATGTGCTTATTTCTACACTATGCTTACTTGAGTTGATAGTATGAAAAATAGGCTACTCAAAAATCTATCATGCAATTACGTGCAATTTTATATGATGAAATTGGAAATGCATAGTGTAGAAATAAGCACTTCAGGCCATGTCACACATGCCATGTGTAGGATATATCTATTATATATTGAGATAATAATATAAGATTAAATAAAGAGATTTGCTAGAAATTCTAACCAAGAAAGCAAAACATGATGCCATTGATGTGCATTTACCTCCATAATTAACTAACTTTTATCGGTTGTGATTACACATCAGTCATAAGCCATAGCTTGCATGGAAATATAAAAACCTAATTAGGCCCATATTGGACCAATAAGGAACATGTAATTCATACTTTTCTTTCGCGGCAAGCCTTTTCCCTTCGATTAATCTAGATCTTTGCAAGAACATGCATTCCTGTATGAATTGGTTGCAATATATTCAGATGAGGTTGTCGTATGGAGCATAAATATTTGGATGGGTAATACCAGGCTACTCTTGGGTAGTGTAAAATGTTTATCAAATATAAGTATCATAAAAAACATTTTCCCATGCATGGTTATATATTGAGGTGGAGTTTTTTTTCCATGCACGCATGGTTGCATATTGAGATCACATTTTGCATTAAAGATCCTAATTGGGTGGAGTATGAAATTCACAAAAGAGAAAAAAGGAAAATAGTTCATGAGGTGGCATGTGCGGTGAGATGGCATATGTGCATTTTGAGATTACACAAGTAGTTGGGATTACATACTTAGGTATATGGGATATATATCACCCTTATATTCTCAAAAACAATAATGGCCCATATAGTTAGTAGGTATTTGAACCATTAAACTTGCAATGATATTTCCAAAATAAGCAGTTAGGTCATTCCTGAATCCAAAATTTAACTCTTTGAACTAATTTACTTTCATGTACTAGCATATAACTATTGACGATTCTCACAAAACTTCTTGGAATAGCATGGCATTTAACTTCCACAAACTTCTTACTGATATGTCAACTTAACAAAAAATGGCTAGAACTAGAGAAAAAAGTACTCATTAACCGGGTAAACCCTTCTTAAATAAAAAAAATGATCTTAATTGTGTCATGCTACGGTTAAATACATGTGGGTATAAACATATTTAAAGCCACTAAATGTAATAACTTTTTCGACTAAAATTAGTAGAATTAGAGAAAATCTAAGGGGTCAACTAAGAACAATCACTAAGTACCTATGAATCTTCTAATATGTACTTAGATAACATCGTGAAATAGATGTTATCATAAAATATCCTAGTAATATGTGATAAAAAATCAATCGGATTATACATATGTGCCAGAAAAATGTTAGAGCAACCATATTTTACAAATATAATTAGACGAGATGACCGATGCTTTCTCTTTATAACATTAACACTACACGTTAGATCTAGAAACATGAAGTGAACTAGGTTGGATTTCTTGTAATTATATGCGAGGTTGATGGAACAATAATCCATACCATGTTCACATTCTTGATGCCAGCAAAACAGATAGATATGTGGGAAGATGTACATTGGCGGTGAAGCCTCCTAGATCGACGGTCAGGCAAGTGTTTGCACTAGGGATAACGACGACGGTCCAATAGAAATATACTAACAATTTGTGATGTGAGCCTATATCTTAGGACTTTATTAGTTAAAGGAATTTAGAAATAATTTGATAGAATCTTAATTCTAAAGAGATGTTCTTATATTTGATGTGTTTGACAAAGAGAGATCAAAGCCAGGACAAGCTATGGGTGAGATGCTCCATAGGTTCATAATTAGTATAAGTCCACACAAATGAGAACAATAGCAATACTATAAATATCATGCCAGCAAACTTATTTATTGTCAAGAGATCCTATCTCTCGCATTTACCTATTAAAATTAATTAAAGTTTGATGAATTTTAGTTCTATGGGATGGACAATCACAGCATAGAGCAGGAATTAAAAGTCGATGTCAATAATACTTCTTCTGTTTTTATAATACATTCCAGAAATTTTGCTATCGAATTTATCCCACTATGCATGTATAAGTTGGTTATCGAAACTGTATAAATGTAGCTAGTATAAATTATTTTCCCAAAAGAAATATTACTCATTTTAGCAACACAATCATGCATACAATAATGACAAAAATTCTCTTAGAGATTTCCATATATAGAATATCGTTGTGTTATTTATTTTTGAAAGTTCACTCAAAAGATCATCTATAGTGTTGTGCATATTCAACCTTGATGTTCTTTCTCTAAAAAATATAATACCCATTTTCATAATACACCATATTTATTTTATATGAAATCGGATATAATTAACTAGAAAAAAGCATGTTACAAAATCAGAAAACAAAAAAGGTACTTAAAATAGCAGGAAGACTCGACGTCCCATAGATCGTCACAATAGTTCTATTTTTCTGCACCTTATCAGCAGATGAGAATTTATAGATCTCCATAACTGGCATTATCATGATGTGAACATTCATTTTATGGACCCATATTATATTATACCAGACTATACTGAAAATATCTTCATAAATGCACCTAATCATCTCATGAGGATTGACCTGGAACTATTTGTGCCATGACAATTTTAAACTAGAATTAGTGTGATGGTATTCACATAGAAATATTTGATAGCTTGTAATATTTTATCTAGTAAAATATTTTTTTCATCATAGTAAGAATACTAATGATGATGCCAGCAAAATATTGTTTATTAATAAGAATCACATACTGCAGCAGTAGTGAATTTTTTCCTTGAGTATATATATGATGCTAAATATATATTTACACGCACACAAAAACAAATGATCTGTCTCTGGTACGAAAGATATTTAGCCTATATTATTTAACTAATTGGGTGATCCCTACTAACATATTTTTCTCAACATGCTACCTCGACATGCAACCATGTATAAGGAAGACCCACTTCAACATGTAAGTATGCATGAGAGTTTTTACTCTATTATGTTACTTATATTCAATAAATATTTTTTCCTACTACCAGTAGTCGAATTCATATGTATTTTCATTCATATGTATTCTCAACTACTACCAGTATGAAGAACCATGGCGCCAATGGAAACTAAGTTTGAGGTGGAGAATCGATGGAACAAGAAGCTTTGGGTTATGGCAGATACGGTGAAATATTTGTTGGCAGGACAGGGATGCTTCGTCGTGTTGCTGGAAATCATGTCAGCTAAGTTGGAATTATTATGTGATGGATTACAACTCACGGAAGATGATTTGGGAACCTCGAGCGTTCCATGCAGCCATACAAGTTCAGTTGGGTCGGACAAGATAGTGTGACACAAGTCGGTCGGTACAGAAGACGATGCACACGGGACCTTGAAGGCAACGAGGGGTGAGTGTGGGCTGATCATTTAACATGGAGTCATGTTGAAGGTGAAGCTAAATTTTGGAATACATCATTAGGTGCTGATTGAGGGGCTACATCATAAGTCGACAGAGAGTCGAAGCCTAGTTCAACGGGGAAAAAGCGATTGACACGTAGTTCGGACTGGAGCTTAGTGGTTTGATTGAAACGTGATAATTGTCATCGGCCGATGATGATTGGTGGTAATCTGCAGTGGGGTTTGAGTGGTGTGGGTTCGCGACCCTTGAGGCTCAACCGGGACAGTAGAGGCATGACACAGTAATAGTGGTGAAGCGTGCAGTATGCATGAGACATGGAGACGTGTCAGGGCTCTGGTGGTCATACATGTGGTGAGACAACTGTGAATTTTATTCGCGATGACGACAAGCAACGGTGAAATTCCTTTAAGTTTCAGACATGCGGTAAAGAAAGGGGTGCTGATGTTGAGTTTAGTTAACTCTTATCTATAACACCTAATAAGTGAGTTGTTCACTTTCACGTATACCAATGATTGGTGTGTGATGATATTGAACGGATACTCCAGAAGTTGGGAGCACAAACTAGGGTAATGAGAAACTAAATTTTTCTCGGGTGTTGACAGTGATCAAGAAAAGAATGGACTACAAGTTGCAGGTGTAGTCACATGGAGTATTGGAGTAGCAGCGGTACTCATGGTATAAGCTCAAGTCCAATGTATAAGGTGGAGTTTGTATTGTGTTTAGACAGGATATGGAATCGTGTCCTAATAGGACACCTATATGCTAAACCTCTTATATAATGAGGGGTAGACGCACGATATAATCTATGCCAACCAAAGTTTTGAATTTCGTTTTGCCAAATTTACCGGGCCTTGGCGAAATGGATGAAATTAGGTTTTAGACGAAAATGCCAAACCAAAATTTGAAATTTGGAACGAATTTGACCACAGTTTGGCAATTTCTTTGAAATAAACCAGAAAAAATATATAGAACAAAGTCTTTATCAACATATATATATGTAGAAATCAATTAACAGAATCCATGTACCAAAACATTATAGACCAAGAATTGAACATTATACACTCGACATGAACCCTAGATTAACACTCTTGTAGAACCTATGCACCAAGTCATTACGACCTCATGTGGTGGCCCTCCACGGTGTTGCCGCCGTCTACAGGGTCGCCCGCGTGCACGGGCGTTACCGCTGCCTCAACGTTCACCCTCCAATGGGGGAGAGAAGAAAGTGGAGGAGTGCTTTAGGAGGAGGAGGCTGGGCTGGGCGCAGGTGGAGCGCTGGAGCAGTAGGCTGGACGTAGGACCTGAATTTTTTGACCGGGTTACACTAACACCGGGCCAAACAGTATGGACGAATTTTGGACGAAATTCATTTTTTCTAGACGAAATCCAAAACTCTGATGCCAATATAATAGCACAGGCATGCAAGGAGAGCCGCCGGCGTGTGCCGGCGCCCGGATGGCAGTTGTGTGGTGTTGTGATGGCGTCACGGGAAGGAGCGCCTGTGGGGATGTAGCCAAGTTCGTTAACCTTGTTAACAAATCTCGGTGTTGTGCATGGTGTGATTGCTTGCTCCTTGGATGACGGACCAGGTACTTCGGATTACTTCTAACATCATCTAGTTCTATAAACTAGTCAGTACAAATCATGCATGTATGGTACAACCAAATTAACACAGGAATCGAAGTGTACGTTTTGACTACGAGGTAATTAAGGTACGGTGAAAGAGGGAAGAAGGAGACCAGACCAGCATATACCAAGTTGTCTCGTCTAGGTTTGGATATGGATTTATACCACAAACAAAAGCAAGCGGAATCTTTGGCATGATAGTGCATATTTGATTTGTTCTAAGACCAGTTATTATATAGAGAAATATATATATATATATATATAAAGATGTATGATACTAATTTACATCATACAAAAAAAATAAGTTGATAACCTTTTTAAATTTGGCCAGCACAAAGTTTAACACAAAATATACCTCAAAAAAAAAGTTTAACACAAAATAAATCAGAGCACGTATGTGTGACAAGATATAAACCTGAAGGTAGTTGGCGACACTTGTATACCTGAATGCTTGCGACAGGAGGCTTATTGAGCCGCCTGAGGAGGCTTCGCACCTCCCGCCGCCGCTGCGCTCTACTCTCCGGAGTCGCCGGCGCTGCTGCTGCCAGTCCCTCCAAGAAGACAAACGCGAGAGCCACGACGAGGGCGACCAAGCACGCACGCGTCGCTGCCATTGAGCGTCTGTTGAATATCAGAGCTAGCTAGCAAGCAACCAACCAAGCTCTGTTGGTATTGGTGTAGGTTTTGCTAGCTTCGGTTGCCGTGCTATATATACATCGCAGCGATGGAGAGGCGGCGAAGCATCCCGGCGTTTTATAAGGCCGGCCGAGAGTGCTCCGTCGCCGTATATTTTAGTTGGGAGCGACCGACCGTAGTGGAATACTGTACAAGGAATGACTAATCAGCAAGCGGACCCAGCTGGATTGTAGTACGAAACTATTGGGGTGCATGTCCGCGTCCAAATGGAATTCTTAAGTAGTAAGCCGCAGCTATTTCTTGGAAAACGATCATCCTCTCTTAGAGTATCTTCAACAGCGGCTGCAAAAACCCCACGCGCGTGGTAAAATGCGATTTTAGCGCCCGCGGGACGGTTTCGCACGCTTCAACGGAGGTGGGAAACTCAGGCATGCAGAAAACGATTGCGCACGCGGGAAAAAGTGGGTGGTCGCGCGCTAGATTTATCGTGCAACTTCTGGCGCGCCTATAAATTGTTGCGCCCTCCACGCGGCCTCCCATCGCACTCCACCTCGCCACGCGCTTTCTCCCTGCTTCTTTTCCTCACCTCGCTGCCGACGCGCCACCACCGCGCCACCATGCCGCTGCACGGCCGGGATCTTCGGGCTATCGCTGCGTCCGCGAGCGCCCCTCCGGCGCCTTCTACATTGAGATTCAGTCCAGCGACACCCGCCTCGGCCTCTGCATGTTCGAGAGCACACGAGGCCGCCCGCGCGTACGACGTGGTGGCATGGCTCCTCGGGAGGCCTCGCCCACAGATGAACTTTCAGGACGTCTTGACGTGCGAGCAGGCGTAGGTCGTCGCCCCTCCGCCACGGCTAATAACTAACGCCGACCGTCAGGAACACCGTCGGCGGCAGCGCCGCCTCCTCATCGCCGAGGCGGACGAGCGAGCCATGGCGTAGTGGCGCCAGCGCCACCCGAAGGATGTCGCCTACGAGCATGCCTTCTGGGCGGAGAGGAGGGCAAGGCGGCGCGTGGAACGGTCGGACATGCGTCGTCGGAAGGCAGTGGCAATATCGCAGTGCGATCTGGGAGCGGCATCATTCCTCTCTAGTGACGATGAGCAGTGGGAAGACGTGTGGCTTGATACGTCGGACGACACAAGCGAGAAGGAGGAGGAAGACGACTCGGAGTAGTTTTTAGTTGCACAACGCGCGGCAAACGCTTTTTTAGCGCACCAAGCGGTGTGCGTCCGTTGAAGATGCTCTTAGGCTGGCTGATTTGAGAATGAGGCTTGGTCACCTCCCAGAAGTCTTCAGTGGAAGGATACTCAGTGACACTATGTTCACCAGACAATTTACGCGTTGGCAGTGGGTCCATCATGCATAGTACGTACAAGGCTCCTCTAGCTGCAACTTGGATGGTGATTTTCTTGTGCCGGTCTTTGAGTTTGGATTGCTCTACTCCAGCGAGTTTCCTGATAATAGGATGACGATCAAAGACGAGTAGTGCAACATAGGGCGTGTTTGGTTGCCGTGCGCTACAGTATCCACATCGCATATACTTCTCCATCCAACCTGGTTATACAAATGCAGTCTCAAATGCATCATATGCATGTTGGTTGGTTGTCTGCATGCCCTTTTATCTGCATGGGCTGAACCACACTGCGTGGTGTTTGATTGCCTGCATGTTAGTGCATAAACCCAAGGCATGGTATTTGGTTGTATGCAAGGCCTGATGTGTGGTAACCTCTTTGGCTAGTTGGTGAGGTTACCACCACACTCCGGCAACACACATCATAAGCACAACATAGTAATAAGAGAGCATCAACTAGCATAATTCAGATATAAGCAGTATCACAGTTCATAACAGTTCAACGCATAAACCATAAACATGTTCAAAGCAGACTCGATAGTACGCTCGAAAGAGGTGGCACGGCCCTACTCCTTGGCGGTGAAGGCTTCGTCGTGCTTCCCGCACTTGTTGACAACCTCAATGCCATCATCGTTGAACATGATGACCTTGAGGGTGTCGGGAGTGAAGAGCTTGAACGTCACCATGTAGCCGATCTTGATCTGACGAACGGCTGCGTAGGTGGCCCAACCCTGATCTAGGGTCACCCTACTGTTCATCAGCTTGACCGTCACCTTCCAGGAGCAGCCGGTGTTGTTCCTGAGCTTGAACTCCGTCGGCGCCGCGACGAAGTGCTTGGTGAAGTCCAGGGGCATGGGGATGCACTCAAGCTTCGGTGCAAGGATGACCTTGTAGAAGTGAGTTGGGCCATCCTCCTGATGGTAGTGGCCTTAGTTGCGGCGCTTGTTGCTGGGGGCTCCTCCATGCCCTCGTCGTCGCCACCCTAAGGCGTCTTCGGGTCTTCCTCGGTGGTGGGCGGCAGCTCAATCTCGTCGGGCATTGGGTGAAGGGGTTGCTTGCCCTTGTTGTCAACGGCCGAGAGCACCTCCGTGCCCATCTCATTGCTATCCTCGATCTGCACACAAGTCATGGAGTCAGGCACTGCACAGAGTTCATGGCTAATTCAAGAGCTTGTAGTGAAAACAGCATGACTGTCACTCTTCTCCTCCTTTCCATCCCCCTATATTTACTCACCCTGCCCACCACTACTTACCCACCCCCTCTCTTCTCTCACTGTCAACCTTCCTCCTCCCCATCGCCATGAGCTCTATCTCCAGCTCCAACGCCAACCCCTTCCCTTGGGGTATTGGCTGGAGGGCCTTTGTAACGCCCCGGATCCGATGCGTCAGGTGTCTGCCAGTTATTCGCCGTCGTTGCCATATTATTTGCTTGCGTGTTGCATTTTATCATGTCATCATATGCATTTCATTTTGCATGCGTGTTCATCTCATGCATCCGAGCATTTTCTCCGTTGTCCGTTTTGCAATCCGGCACTCCTATGCCCTCCGGCGTCCCCTTTTTGTCTCTCGTTGTGAGCGGGTGTTAAACGTTCTCGGAATGGACCGAGTCTTGTCAAGAGGCCTTGGTATAACACCGCCAGACCGCCTGTCAAGTTTCGTGCCATTTGGACGTCGTTTGGTACTCCAACGGTTAACCGCGTAACCCGAAACCCCCCTTCTCTTTGCAGCCCAACACCCCTTCCAAAGTGGCCCAAAACCTAGCAAACTCACCTCCATGCTCTCGGTCGTTCGATCACGATCGTGTCGGCGAAAACCGCTCCTCATTTGGACTCTCCTAGCTCCCTCTATCTATATATATATGCCCTCCCTCCGAAAATTCGCACATGAAACCCTAGCAAAACTCCTCCCCGCGCTGCCAGACGAGTCTGCCCGCGCCGGACACGTCCGCCCCGGCCGCCGCAGCCACTCCGGCGCTGACACGTGTCCACCACACCTCTCTCTCTCCTCCTCGCCGCCGCGGCCCGCGGAGCCCATCCGG